TTACCCTCAAGCAATCCATGTGGCCTGGGAAATTACGAAACATGTTCTTCCTTTTGGAGAATCAGACCGTGAATGAGGTACATTTGGTGGATGAAATGAATGCAGTCGATAGATATATGAAGAGATTTACCAAATTAATATTACAGTACAATTTTCAGAAAGAGCCAGAGGACGAGGCAGCACTGTTAGTCTAAACACCAGTTCTGATTAGCGTAAATTAAACTACCTAAAAGGAATGGAAAAAATACGGAGGCGACGTTAAAGATTGGCAACCACTTTGGGCTCAATTCGAGAAAGTGCTTGAAGATGCGTATAGTGATTCGAGCGACAATATGGCGTATCTTATTCAGACGATTATACCTGGCAGTTATGCTAGGCAACCCATGGATAGTGACCCTGCCGTTCAACTATGCAAATATTGTAGAAGGGCTAACCAACAGATTTGGCTGGTAGACCTGCAAATAAAGGTTTACGTCCGCGAACTATTTAAGTTTATTTTAAATAATGCCCGATTACTGAGTAAAACAGATTTTTCGGTTTTGTACGATAAACTAGAGACACAGTTGCGTGCACTTTAAACATTAAGGATAAGTTCTATAGAGTGTGTGGCAATGCTATAAGCGTTAATTAACTTATGTTTACCCTAAAGCTTGCTGCGAGTTTGACAGCTATCTATGGAATTCAAGCGCGGGCAGGCTCAGATAGATGGAGTAACAGACATCGAGATCCGATTGAAAAATTTGTGAGTTTTTTGAGAAATGAAGTTCAAAATGAACAGTGCATTACTTTGGCTACGGAAGCCTTTGGGTTGCCATTAATGAATTCGAGTTCGGACAATAATCGGGTTAATAATACAGGGAAGGTTGAAAAAATTGTACGCTCGCTGTTTGGTGGGACAAATTAGTTTGAACAAAAGCACCACTGTTAAAGTTAAAAAAATTGTTAGCGGTGAATCGAGAGTGGCTCCCCTTAAGAAGATATAAATACCTCGTCTGGAACTCCTTGAAGCTATGATTACAGAAAGACTTTATGACTCTGTCAGTAATGGTCTCAAATTCAATCATGGATGTTTTTTCTGGAGTGACTATTTGACTGTTATCCAACAGATTCGCCGCAAAGATGAGTGGAGCACATTCATTTGGAATCGAATAAAATAAATTCGCAAATTCTATCCTATTGCCGCTTGGAGATATTTACCCGGTCACTTGAACCCCACGGATCTTCCATCTAGAGAATGAACTCCTCTAAAAGATAAAAGGTTCCAGGATGGTTTTACAAAACCGCAGATATGTAGCCCAAAGAGAATCCCGAGTGAGAGGAGGAGGAGATAGATGAAGAACGGAAGAAAACTTTGGTCTCTAGGATGGTAAACTTCAGTTTGGACCAATACTACTCTACCTTTCTATGTAAAATCAAAAGAAAAGACATACTATCAACTTAACTACGGAAGAGATTAAACAGGCTGAAGTATCCGTTCTTAAAATTGTTCAACAGGATGGCATTTCTAATAAAGCTTCTGAAACGATTCGTTCACTCGCTTCTTCTTTTGGATGCACATAAAATTACTTATTTCTAGGAAAGACGATCTAGAAAACCTTCGTTTTCTAATTATTCTACCTGCTAAATACACCAATGTGTTGCGTTTTATTTTCTAAGTTCACCCATCACCAATTACATGTTGGTGCTTAAGGATTGTTGAGTTTGTTCGCGAGAGGTATTGGGTTATCGGTGTTCGACAGACGGTACGTTCGATAGTCTCGGAATCGCTATTTTTACGGTCCGGCAAAAAAGATTTGATACATATGTATACGTGTGCCGTGTATTGTGCTGTCCACTTAGAACTGCCCACTTCGTTGTCACCTTGTAGTGGTGGGGTTCCCATTTTGTTAGCGGGCGACACTTTAAAAGTGGTTGTGAGGCACTAAGAACAACCACAAGCTTGCAAGGAACAATGAATAAAGATAAGGAAACGCTTACTGTTTCAGCCCAATCGGAAAGGGCAGAGACGGCAGCGACGGTGATGCAAGAGCAGGCCCCGTTCGGTTGACATACCCACGTCGGTGTGGGGTGCCTGACATGGCTACCAGCCAGCGAAGGGCTTGTCAGGACGGTATTCAAGGACTATCCTCGGGAAGGGCGATTGTGAGGAAACAAGGTGGACAAGATCCCAAAGCGGTAGTAGTGGTTGACCTCGGCCAAGATCTGACCAAGAGTAAGGCGTTGCGTATGTAAATGATCCAATCGTGGAGTTGTATGTCTGTCAGTATACGGGATACGGAGTATTGAACAGTTCATAGAGACAAGAAGACGACGAGCGCTGTTAATCGGTCAATAATGAGTCACATCTGTGTCATAGCAAAAACATGACGGACCGAAGTGTGAAGGTAGTGAGAGTAGAGGGAGAGTCTGGAACAGGTTATCTTGATCAATAAGTTGGAGGCCTTAATCGTCCGTACGGAGGAGTACGCCTACGAGACGGCCGTAGCAGTGAGCGATATTGACATTGCTTAACCAACTAGTCTATTGGCGATCACAATCCCTTCCTGATTGAGATCACTGTATGTGCAGCCAACCGGAGAGCTGTCCGCTTTTCCAGCGTGGTCCATCAAAGATGCCTGTTCGTCTGACTGAGAGGAGTAGGTGCTTCAAAGGGACAGTCCCTTGACTCACCTCAAGAGGTCATTCCTCAGCGAGAAGGTAGCAAGAGTTGGTGGTGGACGCGAACGATCAGATCCTGCGAAGGGTTAGGCGGCAATGTCTCTATGAAGGACGAACGATCTCCGAAATCAAAAGAACGACCTGAGGCGTAGGAGAAAGCGAACCCAAAAGGCTCGCAGGATAGGACAACCGAACGCGAGGGACCGATAAAGGGCCTATAGCAAAAGCATCCGATTCTACAAGAGTGTAATAATCGACCCGGAATTTTAGAACCTGATGATGGATGACCTACTAAGAGAATATAAGGAGAGGTTCCCCCATCATTCCTTTCACCGACAATCTTTTGGTGTTAGTTGAGGGTAATAGCCGGGGGGAGTTGGAACACCGAGGTGGCACCTTTGTACCTGTAGCTGTGAGGTGAGAAGAGACGGTTGACGTTTTGGTTTCGACCAATAAAACATGTTGTATGTGCCTGTGTGCCGTCTATAATAATCAGAACGAAATCACAACTAACGTATTTCTATCTAATAGCATGCACTGAAATGTGAGCGCTATAGTTACACGAAGCCCTTGTGACGTCTCAGAATTGAGATGTAATATTTTAAGTCCCTGATTTCGGCAACGGATCGTCGCAGAAAAATGAGATTTGAAGTTTTTTTTCTGAGACATTAAAACCTTAATTTTCGGTTCACACCCTCTTCAAAAGTAACTATAGGTCATTGGTAACAATACAAACAAAGGTTTTCTTACATTCTAAAGTTTTACCCGAGGCTTCACTAGCGTTGATGTCCTTAATACGTATCAATCATCAAAGACCACATAAAAAGATTTTCTTTGTGGATAAAAGGTACCTTATGTCCTTTTCTGTGCCGTTGACAATGTATGTACGAAATGTCATGATGATGGGTTGAGTAGTTAAAGCGTGAGATAAACGAAATTCACTTTCATATTTATAATATTAGAATAATGTTAACTTCACTAGTATCGAGAGACGGCAATTTTTAATTGTTAACTTGTTGTTGCAACGATGTTTTGATGAGGTACTAATATCCTCCTTTGGCGATTTTATTGAATATCGATTCTGTGATTGTTCAATAATGGTAATGTTTTTAGTCGTTCCTTTGAGGGCATCGTCATCAGAGCGCAGTCGACGAGTTTTCCAATACGATCTAATCTTTTCATATTTCTTTTCAGTAATGGATTAATGAAGTTTTCGAACTCATTAGCCACGCTAATGGAAACAAATTTTCCGCTCAGATCCAACCATTAATATATAGAAGTGCTAGACGAGTATAGGTTTAATAGTACGAAGTACAAACATTTCTTGTTTGTTGCAATCAATGTGACTTTCATTCCCCTGTACGTTTCTTTTCGTTCTTGACATCTGTTATCGCTTCTTAAGTGTGTTTATGTTTCTTAGCATTGACAGTGTTTTTCTAGCGTTCGCTCTTTTGTAACCCTTTTTATTATAATTTCGTTCCTTGTTTAGGTAAATATGTGTACAAACAAATATCATCAAATGGCTCCTATGTCGCAGCTTCAATATTATTGTAACAAAAGTCAGTAAATCCCGGATTTCGATTCTTTATAGCTTTGCCGTCCTAATGTCGGAAGACCTTATTCAACCTCCTTTTAGGAATCGTAGAAATGGGTGGGTGATGGTTGGAATGAAAATGATGAGATAAACGAAACGAAAACAGAAGAGAGTAAAAGATTATCGATAGAATATTACTGCCCCTGCATTTGTCTATAAGCGATTGAATGAACTCTCGGAAAAACTTGGACTGAGAAGATGGACCCGGAATCCAATCGGTGCCCCCCTGAATGTTAAGTAATGTTCTCAGCCTTTAGGTCATTCCGTTCAGCTTTCGTCAACTATTCGTCGCCTATTTATGTTGTCATGGAAGGTTTCTGAACACCCCGCAAGATTCCTCAATCATACGAGTCTTTCTGTCATTTCGTGTTCATACATAATTTATGATCTCAGCTGTCATCCTTTGGTATCGCTGTTAGAAATATAAGTGCAGTTGATAGGTATTAGAGTGACACCTACGTTTGCTACTTTCATTTGTTTTAATAGTTGTCGATGAAGAACATCAAATTTCATGTAAATTATTGTGTGGATTGTATTATATTTGAATATATTTCGTAATATTGAAAAACTGCGTTTACGTATTCGGCGACCCTACCTAACTACTACATGGAACCGAAGGTTTATCTTAAACAAATAATAGCGATATCTTGTTCAAAATATAATTGTTCACAAAATGAGTTATTTGCCAACGTCCCTCTTATTTATGGCAGACGTAGTAAAATTGTAACTAACGACAACCCGATTTATTACTAGCGTTGTTTCTTTTAGATGTAATGTAACGTTGGTTGATATGAGAACAACCAAATTCTCTCACATGTAACTTGTATCCCAGATTTTTACATGAAATTAATATATACTAGGTACTCAGCCAAATCAATAGGTGTATCTTTATATCAGGTAAGAAGAAACACTATTACAATTTATTAAACTTATTAATTACTATAATCAAAAGATCATCAAAAATGAAATAAATTTAGCATTTACTTGATGAAGGTTCACGATTTAATCTGTTTAAATAAACAATCGTTTTCACAAATTTTTTTTTGAAGCAATTTATTGTCCCGCTACTCTTTAACTTCTTCAAATGTCACACTTAACACTTAACGAAACTTAAAAGAACATGTAGCGAAACAATTATTCAATTATCGCCCCAAATAAAATTTTATGAAAATTTAGAAATTAATATGATATATAGTTACCATTACAAGCATGTTTAATGAATGGAACAAGGCGTGTAACACTTTGGAAACATTTCCTTAACCTTTACAATACCAAAGATCTGCAAATTGCATTAAATATCAAGTGTGTACATATTTTTATAAGTAATTGCATGTGAAATTATCAAAAGTCACGTGGAGCGCATAACCAGTGAAAAATAGATATAGTAAACGAAGAAGTTTGGATGGTATGCTGTTAGCAGTAAGAAAATGGAAAGAAATAAGAAATATAGGTAGAAGCATAGAATAAATTTAGCCCATTTATATTTTCCTACTTGGACTCAGGTCGTGTTCCACTGACAACAATACAGGGAAATTCTAAGCAAAATGAAGAGTGAAACAGAAGCTATAAAGGATAGGTGTAGAGGAACTTACAAAAATGGTAAAAAGGACAATACATAGACGGAAAGTCAAAATGTGACCAAACAAACCGAGCCGCAGAATGTGGTGGGTCAAAGAATATGTGAAAGTGAAAAAGAGCTAATTTTAACTAGAAAATTAAGAAATTTGATGGAAACGAGAATAACCAAAATAAATAACAAATGGAAGCACTTATATTGCGAAACAGTTGCTGCATACATTAAACAATTTTTGAAACTCAGTGTGTCTTATTTAATTATTGTTGCAGTACAGAAATTTTCACCATTTTTTTTATGACAATATCTCTATTATTTGTACATAGAAGCTATTTCGTAAATATAAATAATATTTCCAGGTAAAAATTCCAAATGGAATCTACTACTGTATTATCCACACCATTGACAAATTTTTCAATTGCTGCAAATGGACCAAATGACTTGCGGTTTTCTTGGATTGATTATTCCTTTTTCACTATCCTTTTGTCGTTTAGTACCTTAGTTGGTATTTACCATGGTTGTTTCGGCAATAAACAAGCTACGACTGTTGACTATCTACACGCAGGAAAGACTATGAACTTTTTCCCAGTGGCAATATCACAAATAGCGAGGTAAGATGCACAATGCTAACGAAAGTTTTACAGTCTTCCATTCTCTAAGTTAATAATTATTTCTATACTAAACGAATTTTTATCATAACGATTGTAAGTGGTTCCATATGAGGTTTTACGTAGACAACACATTCACATTGCCTCTGCGGTAAGCTGTAAGGTAAATTCTGAAAGACAAAGTCACTATCTGCGTCCTCATTTATGTTTCTCAACTTACTTCTTCTAAACCTCCTAATGGATCGTGGAGACTAGAAAAAGGAAACATATCATTAGGTTGAACTTTTCGTTATAAAAAAACATTAAGAGAGGGTCTCAGTGAGCAGAAGATGCAAAACAATTGACAATTATGTTTAAAATTTTAATGATTTTAATATGAAATTCAATATTAACAAAACCGCAATTTAGTTGTATTCACGATTTTTTGTAATTTATTGGAAATTCAATGGAATCTTAAATTGGTTAAGAAGGTTATGTAGTAGTACATGTTGGTATTTGAATTTTCGTTTAATATGTGGTAATTAAATTATTAATTGAAAACTATACATTACAATTGAATCGTGTATATATTTTGAATAAATAAGTTGCTAAACGGGCTCAGTTGATTTTTACGTGAATATTCTTAACTCATGTTAAAATTATGGAGACAGATCAGAAAAAAGCTATTAATAAGAAGCCTACCAAAAATTACCATGTGTCAAAAAGACAAAGGGAGTATTTTACAATTATTTATAACACATATGTGGTCTCATAATAAATATTACACATTAAACTATCTGTCACTGAACAAAATAGACGATTAAATTTCTAGATATATTAAACTTATAAACTGATTGGGGTAAGGTATTAAGATGATAAGAAAGGCAAGATTGAAAAACAATAACAACTTTATTATAAAAAATTATATGGAAAATTGAACAAAAACATTTATAAGAAAAGGATCTTTCTCTCAACGTAGATCAATACACCGAAAAAGTTAAGTTAATCATCGACCAGGAGGTAGTGTCACCAACACTTAGAGTTTCCCCACTGGTTACTCTTTTAAGGGTAGACTTTTTCTCTTCGCATTCCCGAGTCGACTGATTGCGATCAGACTATCGATCCCCGTTCACGCGCTAAACTTTTTGATGAACAGTGATTATTTGTACATAGTTCAACATGGGTCATTCGCTGGTTCTAGCAGTTTCTCTGGTTTAGCTGATTTAACGAAAAAACTGACGAAGTCCTTTTTGGTGACTTCGCGAAGTTCAATAATTTTTCCAATGACCAGAACTATCGAACTGGCGTCAAATACTGCTTGTAAATAGATAATTCTTTTCACTTACTGCTTCGTTGCTGCGGAATGCCAAATACGCTTATTTTGCAAGTAAATGAACTCGATATCTGTTTTATGAATTTCAAAAGAATAGCAACGTTATGATTATGAAATATTTAATTAATTTTGAAATATGTTTTGAAGTCTGAAATGGTTTCCTTAAAACTTCACTGCGTGACAATAGTATCTATAAATGCGAAATTAAAATTAATGGCTGAACACCGTTTAACTATTTCAACAGTAATAAAAAAAATAGTTAATTATGTTGAGACGTTATGAAAACGAATGTTTAAAGATGTATTTTATTAAAAATGTTTACAAGTAAGATTTGGAACCACCTAGGCTAAAATATAATAGTAACTAACTTAAAAGAACAGCAACTAAAGAAAAACTAAAGCTTGATAAATTGCTTCTGCTGTATTTCAGAGAATTTTATAAGTAGTATGATAATAAAATGGAAGCGGTGTTGACAAAGCAGTGTTGTATGAAAATAAATGAAAGTAAAACAAAAATACTGGTATGCAAGGTATAAAAAGATAGGGAAAGAGGGAATATAAGGATAGGAGACGAAAAATTAAAAGTGGCTGATTTTGGATATCTAGGAAGTCAGATAAATCAGGGCGGAAAGAGTAGTAGGGATATAAAGCAGAGGATAGCGCAGGGTCGTGTCGCCTTTAATAAAAAGAAGTCACTTCTATGCTCGCCAACGGTTAATTTAGAAATTCGAAAAAGGTTGTTAAAGGTGTATGTTTGGAGCACGGCTTCCTAAAAGTATTCGATTTTTATCATCACTAATTCAAGGCATGCGAAAAAAAATTTTTCATATTTTTTAATAAGGATACTTTGTGTCATACAGTTCCCCGTTAAGTTTTCTGCTGTTACAGCATATATTTAAAAATTATAACAACGATTCATTATTAAATAGATTAATATCCTTCTCTTCCTCATAAGAAATTTGTGAAGGTGAGCGTTTTATATTGGTTTTTCTTTTTTTTTTTTAGGAAGGCTTTCTTTGTTTGTTTAATTTTTTTTGCGGCTCTATTTTTTACAATAGTAATTCCTTCAGGCGAAATTAATAGAGTGTATACAACAAACCTGTCTCGTTATTTTATCCAGATGTCACATCCGAAACAGTTATCTCTTCCAATAGAATTGTAAATGGACCTCCTTTTGTATAAGCATAGCCAAAAATATGATTGGGTCAATTACAGCTTTTATTGTTTTAAATTGTATTAGTTCATTTAATTCATGTGTTTCTTCGCTATTCTTTGATTGGGAATTCGTATATTCAATTTTCGTCTCTTGTATGAGGATTCTTTGGTATTGAGTAGTTTAAGTGTTTAGATGAACCGATTAAAAAAGATCGTTGCAGTGACATTGGCTAATTTCTGAGACCCCTAACATTGAATTCAGCCTCGACTCAGTCTTTAAGTTTTTGCCTTTAGATGTAATACATGAGATTGCTTCACCCTTTTTCCCTGATATCATTGTACAACGACTAAAACAGGTCCAGATTGATTATTTAACTTTAAGGTTTATTGACCCAGTTTTGTCGAAAATCGCATTGTTACTTCACTTCCTATGGATACACTCACAGCTTTTCAAATAGCTTTCTGTAACTACTATAGGCGAGCTTTCGAACATCTAATACCGTCATAGGAAAGTTGTATTTTTGTGCCTTTTTAATGTGTAACATCAGTATCTTTTCCTAACATACTGTCTCATCTCATTTTACCAAAGATAAACACATTATTCTAAGCATTTTACAGAAAACCCGTTTTTGACATCCTTTTTGGCATTTTGGAGCAACTGAATAATTGGAAAACAGTAAGGAAAAAAAGAAAAATTAGTGGTTGTCTAACCCGTATGTTATGTATGAAGAGATAACCACCATGACAAACATAACCCACTGTATACTTTTTATGGATGTAGAGGTTACGATTCATTAATAAAAATTTAACTCACCTAATTTATAGGAATTGGCATTAAAATTCCAATGAGACGATTACGTTTTCACTTTTTGAATGATTTAATTTACGAAAGGCTAAACACACTAACCGTGTTCAGATATGAATGCAGCCTGTTAGCTATTTCTCCCGCTTTATCATCTCACCGACTTTACCCTTTACAAAAAAAAACTCCAAAGAGGCTGATAAGTTTTCAGAACTTAAAGTTAGGATTGAATTGTCAAAGGGTTACAAATGGTGACTAAAATTAGGGTAAACCAGATTATTTATTTATGTCGAATTTGCTCTCTGCTTTAACAGATCTGTGCCTTAAATCACATAATATAATATGTACTAGGGTCAATTGAAAAGTCCCCGGCCTGACACATAGATGGCGGCACCAGAACTAAATCCATGATTTTCAGTTAGTCCTAACCTTCAAAAGACGCGTCCATAAATTTGACGGCTGTCGGATCATTAGTTTGTGAATTATAGCATTTTTAGTGAAGCAACTTTTGTTATTGTGAAAAAAATGGATAAAAAGGAATTTCGCGTGTTGATAAAATATTGCTTTTTGAAGGGAAAAAATACAGTTGAAGCAAAAACTTGGCTTGATAACGAATTTCCGGACACTGCCCGAGGAAAATCAACCATCAAGGATTGGTATGCTAAGTTTAGACGTGGTGAAATGAGCACCGAAAACGGTGAACGCAGTGGACGCCCAAAAAAGGGCTGTTACGGACGAAAACATTAAAAAAATCCACAAAATGATTTTGAATGACCGTAAATTGAAATTGAATGAAATAGCAGACACTCTACAGATATCAACGGAACGTATACATCACATCATTCACGAACGTTTGGGTATGAGAAAGCTCTGTGCAAAGTGGGTGCCGCGCGAGCTCACTTTTGACCAAAAACAACGACAAGTTGATGATTCAGAGCAGTGTTTGAAGATGATCACGCGTAATAAACCCGAGTTTTTGCGTCGATATGTGACAATGGATGAAACATGGCTCCATCATTTCACTCCGAAGTCCAATCGACAGTCATCGGAGTGGACTGCACACGATGAACCCGCTCCAAAGCGTGCAAAAACGCAACAGTCGGCTGGCAAGGTTATGGCGTCTGTATTTTGGGATGCGCGTGGAATAATTTTCATTGACTACCTTGAAAAAGGAAGGACCATCAACAGCGACTATTACATAGCGTTATTGGACCGTTTGAAGGACAAAATCGCCGAGAAACGACCGCATTTGCAGAAAAAGAAAGTCCTGCTTCACCAAGACAATGCACCGTCTCACAAGTCAGTGAAAACGATGGCAAAAATTCATGAATTGCGCTTCGAATTGCTTCCGCATCCACCGTATTCTCCAGATCTGGCCCCCAGCGACTACTTCCTGTTCTCAGATCTCAAAAGAATGCTCGTTGGGAAAAAATTTTCGTCGAATGAAGAGGTGATCGCCGAAACTGAGGCCTATTTTGAAGCAAAGGACAAATCGTACTACAAAAATGGCATCGAAAAGTTGGAGGATCGCTATAATCAGTGTATCACCCTTGAAGGGAATTATGTTGAATAAAAGAAACGAATTTTGCAAAAAAAATGTGTTTTACTATTTTAGGCCGGGGACTTTTCAATTGACCTGTTACGTTACTATGATTATTGATTGCGTTCACCTAAACTCTCTTGATAAGTTTAAATTTAGAACATTACCCATTATATCTTTGGATTGTATCTGAATAGTGATAATATAGAAATTTTTTAACAATATTAGTTGACATTACCGAAGATACCAAAGGTATTTTGTATTCAGAAAGTGTGTTATAATCCGAAAGGTAATTTTTCGGGAAAAAGGAGAATGTGTCGTTGAACCTAATTGACGTGAAACCCCTGGATTCTATCAAAAGTAATAACATTTATAGTTAAACTTTTCACAGGTTGTGTCACTCCTGTAATTGCAAGTTTTTTTTTTACTACTTTCAGTAATATAAGGAACCTATAACAGTTAGAATATTTCTTTTACAGTCATCTGTCTGGAGTAACATTACTAGGAATACCAGCTGAAATGTATACTCATGGCACCCAGTACTGGTCGAGTGTTTTTACAAGTGCACCATTAACTGTTTTAGTTGCAATTTATGTCACCTTGCCAGTTTTCTATAAATTGCAGTTGACTAGTTGTTATGAATATTTGACAATGCGATTTGATGCAAGACTAACAAAAATCACATCTATTTTATACCTCATTGGTATATTATCTCATCTTCCAATAGTCGTCTATGTGCCAGCATTGGCATTTAATCAAGGTATGATGTCATAAAGTTATATCACGTCTTCTTTCCTAACGGGGTCCATACCGCTGCATAAGTATTTATTATATTTGTAATAACTTATTTTTTAACGCCCTAAATTATAATATATACAGGGTGATTGATTTATGGCGTTGATTAAAATATTTTAGAGAACCAATAGGGAGGTTGATTTGAAAGTTGATATACTTCTACAAAACAAAAGGGATTTATTTAGTGGAAACATTTTTATTTCCAATTCTGCCTAGACTCCTTCATAACTTTGTTATTATGGTTAGTATTACTCCTGTTTCACTATTCTTTTGAATACCGTATTACAATTAATGATATCTTTTATAGGGGTGATATGTTTCTGATAAAAATCAATACCTGTAATAAACAATATTCGAGCAGACACATTTTTAATTTATTTAAATTAACGGAGCAACATTATTACAGAAAGAACTTATTGCACATTTAATAAAAGATATCTTCATTTTCTGTAAAATAAAGTAACAGTTTCCAAAATAGTTTCATCAAATAAAGACCAATTTTCACATCAGTCTCTCTTTTGGTTCTCTAAATTAAAATGAACAAACATTACCTTAAACTACACGGCAGTCATTTGTACACACAGTTTTGCTTTTTATCACACGAGGTGTTTTAATATACGTTTTCTTGCGTTTGAGTAGATGGAGATTAGCCATTTTTAGTAAAGACGAATGTACAATAAAGGTCGAAATATGTAGGGTTGTTAATAGTTTGCAAGAAGCTTACCAAGAAACTGACTCCGGTATCGATGTCCAATGTAAAGATGACTGTAGTCCTGGATTTGCTATTGCAGAGCTGGATGATTTTAATCCTTGTTTTGTGGTAATCCTTTCATAGGTATCCGGCTCGAAGGACCAAGGATGTTGTCGCCTTGGTTTGACGACTTATATGAATGCACTTTTTTGAATGGCACAAAAAGCCGCGACAAAGATAAATACTCGATATGTTTAAGAATATTTATTAACATTAAACGACCGAATTTAAAGCACAACACTTAAATCAGCAGACGAACAAACTTCACAAAAATGATGATAGAAATTGATTGAATGTAACGGATGCCTAAAAAAATCAGTTCTAACAGAAAATTGTGAAAAAACAAAACTGTGTGTACAACAGACTCAAGTGACTGTTGCTATACAACACTAACTAAGAAGTAACTTGCAGTAAGTGGTCTTTCAATGTACCTAACCACACCAATAGTTTGTATGGTGTGTATATTTTACACGACTGTTGGAGGATTGAAAGCTGTAATCTGGAGCGATGCTCTTCAATTTACTGTCACCTTCGCGACACTTGCAGTAATATTTGTACTAGGAACATCATCTGTAGGGGGATTTGCACAGATATGGAATATTGCTTCAGAAAATAACCGAATAGAATTTTTCAAGTAAGTATCTTTCCATAATTAATTTAAATAACGTTTTTTAAGAAATCTTCAATAAGTTTTTTGCCTTATTGTTATATTAATATATAAATTTGGCTTTGAAAAAGTAGCTTGTCTTTACATATATGTGACGACCAATGGTGACTCATGTATTTGTTAAGGTGCATATTTAATAAAAAAACATTCACAAGGCACCTGATACATTTTAGTTCTTGCTTTTAAAGCCATTTATTTACACTAAAATCCCGATTACCAACCTAAATCACCTAATTTATGTGATCTAAGAATGGGAGGATACCCGGACACCTGGCTTTACGCAACAGTACTCATATCACTAAACTACAATAGGTGACAGTAGCAACAACCGCGAAACGTACTTACTAGGTCACAGAGGCGTCAAAACTAATACATATATTTCTATTTATATTTATATCCACTCTTTAAGGAGGTTGTTACTTTTAGTTGCGGTTAATATCTTTTATAATTATCAAACATTAATGTGAAATCAGCTTAATTTCTTTCCATTACATCACTGCTAGTCTAGTTACAACACTGTTTATATATAATATACTTCAGAGAACTATCTTCTCGGAAGAAATAAGGGCACTTTTCACGTATAGACAATCAGCCTACGATATGTGACATCCACGAGTATTATCTGAAAAAATTTGCCGCTCAACACAGGACTTCAGTGCTCCAGCAAATCGTCTCAGGCGTGAATGGAATCTGCTTCAGACCACTTATTTTTTCAATATTACATGAATAACACTTTATTAATATATTGAAAAGATGTACACGTGTTTATAAATTAATAATACCGCAACTCTACAGTAACGCTTGACATATGCTGGTGCATCACATACTTGCAATAACTTTTAAAGTGTAATGCATACATATTATAATATAATACATATTTACTACCGAAAAAATGCAAAGGACAAATTGTCGCTTGATACTTGACTGAAGATGGCAATGAAAAGGTTAAGTGCAAATACATTGGGACTGAGTGAAATGCAGTGGGAGGATGATGGTGATTGCTGTATGGATAAACACAGAATAATTTACTCGGGTAGAAGACCAAGGGTCTGATGATAATAGCAATACTTTCAAACAAACCATGAAGTGATAAACCGGAAGATGCAATTAAATAATAGAATAAGAGCCATACAGTCACGATGCTTGTCTAGGTGAATCTGCTTACTGATATTCATTATAATACAGGGTGTAACAGAATTAACTACCGAGCATTGGAGGGTGTCAACTAGATGCAATAGACAATCGCACAGTGAGTTCAACAGCGTGTTTGAGAACAAAAAATCTTTTTAAGAAAATCACAATTATTTACAACCCGAAGTTGGTCCTGCACGTGAATTGGCAACATAGGGGTCTACTGAATAGCGTAGTGCGGTAAAAACAAATTAATGTACGTAAATATTATTTGGTAAACTAGCATCATCTGGATAATTGTAGTTTTATTAACGCAAATTTCCACATCACCATTGAGGTATTGCCAGGGTGGATTACCTTTCTGAGGGTGGTTTTAAGTAAACTAACCAAAAGAGTCCAATAACTTTTCGAAAATTTCGCACCACACATTTACCGAAAATAGTTTTTGCAATCGCGAAGGAAGAACTACACGTGTCGCACCTACGAGGTCTGTTCAAAAAGTATTATGAATTTTGTTTTTTTCGAAAATTATTTATTAATTCACGAGTATCTATTTTGTGCCCTTCAATATAATCCCCACTAGACCCACACTTGTGCTAACGTTTTTCTCAATCCTCGAATCCTGTTCAGCACTTTCTTCGATGCCGTCTCTATCTCCTCAATCGTAGCGTGAAGTGACAGGGGCCAGATCTAGGGAAAAAAGTGGCTGCGAAATTATTAGTGTGTTGTTTTGGGCAAAAAATTCGCGAACAAGCAACATTGTGTGAACAGAGGCGTTATCATGGTGCAAAAGCCAATTTTTGTTCTTCCACATATCTGGACGTTTTCAGTGGATTGCTTCGCACAAATTGCGCACAACTTGCAGACAATATTCGTTATTGAGCGTTCTACCCTGCAGTAGGAACTCATGATGCACTACGCCTCTGTAATCCAAGAAAACTCTAAGCAAAACCTTCACATTTGACTTAGCGCGTTTTTTCTGGTCTTAGCTCGTGGGATACCTTCCATAGGGATGACTGAGCTTTGGTTTTCACGTCATAACCATAAACTCATGATTCGTCACCACCAGAGTCCAACAGCTCCTTAGCAATGTTAATGCGAGTTTTAATTTTACTCTGGAGGGTGTTTAGTTCGGTGCGGTGTGCGGGATCACGATGTTTTTACTACAGAAGGCGCGTTTTGCTTTTCCTCTTGACGATGGCAAGAATGTCTGCGGGGCGGTGTTTCTCTGGGGAGGATAAAGAAGGGCGGGCGGTCGTGGAGAGCTCGATGGCGCTGGTAATCTCGTTTGATATGAGACGACACCTTTGTCTAGTTTCGCTTTTGTGCGAATTGAAGTGCACCTAAAGGAGAATGTTTCGAGAGTATAGCGCAGACGTAGCCAGTCTAGCGAAGTTATAAGGTTTGGAGGGTTGAGAGTTGGGCGGCCGACTTCTATTAGGGCTGGAAGGTGGTCAGAGCTTAAAGCATCGAGAACGGTGAAATCGGCAGAAAGAGTGACATTCTTTAAGACGAAGATGTTAAGAATGTCAGGAAGTTGATTGTGGTGCCGGGAAGGTACGTAGGATGTGGGGGCGCTTCAACGGCAAGGTTGAGGCCGAGAACTTTGGCAAGAAGGGAATGCCTTTTTTGTTAGTGTGTCGGCAGCCCCAGGAGACGTGTTTGGCATTGAGATCGCCGACGACGATCGTCGAGACGTTCGAGGGGAAGAGGAGGGGGAAATCCGAAAGATTTAGTTCAGATGGAGAGGAGTAAAGGGAAATGATTCAGAGGGGGCCGAAAGTTGGCAAGACTTCAACGCCTACTGCTTCTAATGAATTAGCGGCCAAAGAGATGGGCCTGTGTTTTAACGAGTTCCTGACGAGGATGGTTACGCCACCGTCTCGAGTGTTTTCACGGTCCCTTCTATAGGATGTGAAGTTTGGACGAAAAGTTCTTTCTGCGATAAGTGAGTTTCGGTGATGCAGGCAACACCGATTGACTGTTCCTCGAGGAAGTGTGTGGCCAAAGGACGGGTGATTGTTTGGACGCTTTTTGGGGTAGTCGGAGTGGGGGAGAGTTTTTTGAGTGGTAAAGTTTTCTTAGATACCTTGGGACAACTACGATAGTTGGCATGGTGGTTCCCTTTGCAGTAAGCACAGGAGGGGGTTGCGTCTTTCCTGTCTATTGCCTTACATTCGGCAGTGACTTGGTTGAGCCGCAGAAGGAACAGACCCAGACAGCGTGGCAGTAATTGGCCGTATGAAAAGATTTCATATAACAGGAACATTAAGCAACTTCAAGAGCAGAGCTTACCAAGTTCGAAGATTGACTTGGAATTAGGAGAAGACCTGTCGAGACGGACGGATACTAGTGGCCAGATTTTTTCACCTTTTGACATTCGGTGAACACCCCGGATAGCGAAACCTTTATTAACAAGTTCAGACTCTATATTGTCGTTAGAGATGACTTCGCAGACTCCACGGAGGACGACATGAAGGTCTATATCTTGTTGTAGTTAGTTGGTTGAGAACTCAACCTTAGACTCGTCGAGGTACGACGATAGGCAACAAAAATCGACCACGGAGTTGGAGTAGACTCTGATCTAGTCTTGGGTGTCAATGGTCCGACGGGCGATGATACCGTGGTTGTCCATGGCTCTACGAATTTTAGGCCAAAGGGACTTTTGGCGGATAACAATGGGTAGAGGAGCTTTAGAGCCTTGACTCGGTTGCTCCGTTTCCGACTCAGTGTCAACGTTGACAAAGACTATGATAGGGAAGATGTTCGTCTCCGGCGTTTGCTGCGACGCTTCCAGGCTTTAGTGAAGGCGTCAGCTGTAATAGATGATGATCCTGGTTCGGAGTGAACCTGGGAAGGAGCGGAAGAAGTGCCGGACCCTGTGTCCTCACACATGGGGCTTAGAGGTGAATCCTATGAATGACAACGGATGAAATCGTTTAACGTAGCGAGCTTGGACTGCAACTAGGGTTAAGGCTTTCTCAAGGGAATGTCCCTCCAAGGGTGTGGAGTTCTTGGTGGTAACCATTGCTAGAATGGTTAACGCACTGACGTGAAAGTACTCTTGTTTTTTCGTGCTGGTATACGGAAAAGAGAAGAAAGTTAGGTTAGGTTATGTTATGTTATGTTATGTTATATCGGCTGGTGGTGTGTAAGGGACATACCTACTCCGTCCCAAAGAACTGTAGGTTAGTTAATGGTTAAAATAAAACAGTAGAATTGGTAACAGTATTGAATGGCGGGGCTACTGCTGTGAAAGTTGAAAAATAAATAAAATTTAAACCCTAAGGTTGTTGGCTGTACATACAAACGGCTGGAGCGTTCGGATGTTGAATAGATATATTGATGTAGAACTGTCGGCTGTAAGGCTGCTTAGACTGGAAGTTCGTCGCTGCTGGAATGGTCCGTTGGTTTCGAAGGTCGAGTCTAGGCTGGGCCTCGGCCTTCTGATAACATTTTATATCACCGAAAAACATTGCTTCAGTCCAAGGTAGCTTCACCATATGCCACAGTCAACATTTGGAATGCGTTGGCGCACTTAATTTTGTTTTTCACACAAAATTTGATTGAATTTCATTTCGAAACCACAAATACACTCTCGGCTGAAAACCAGTTTCAAGCAAGGCTTACACTCGCTGCGAATAATAAAGGTGCAGCAACTATCTCTCTAAAATTTGCGACACTGTTACATGAGAGGAGTCAAGGTTCCTTAGTATTTCGCTGTACTATTTTAGAGATTGTCTTTTTATTTGAAATTGAGAATTTCGTCCTACAGCGTCGAAATGGTTCAAACCCGTAAATACGTATAATATCACATATTGCAACAACTGTTCTACAATGACTGAAATACACTAATGATTTATGTTCTGTTGGTGAGTTGGTTTATTGAACTGCATATCAATTGCCACATGCAAGGTTTAAACGTTAAGAGAATAAATAGCTACTAGAGTTTAGCTGTTATTCTATCATAGTTAATCTAATCTAACAAATAGACAATGCATGAGCAAAAAATGCAAAACAAATGCCACACCGTTGTTGGAAATCACCAGCTGATTGGGTTGAGCGTTGCAGGCCGTATTTATTTGTCAAGGCCTGAATTGAGTTTAATACCTAAAGCCAGCGGATTCGACTCCCAGCGAAGCTGTGTCAGCAGCAACAATTTTTTCCTCACTAACTTGAGGTAATCTGTACTTACCGACACCCTCAATTTAATTATCTTTAATTTAACTAGTACGGTAGTTACTAAGAATCAACTTTATTGTTATCATGTAGGTAAAGCAACACAGGAATGAATGAAAATATGCTTACTTTTGCTTTCTATTCTAGCATGAATCTCGATCCTACAATTCGAACGACCTTTTGGACTATTGCAATTGGCAATAGCATACCTTGGATAAACAATAACGCTTTTAGTCCAATTTCTATGCAGAAGTATATGGCTGTTCCTAAATATTCACATGCGGTTAAGTGAGTAACTTCTAATTTATTTCAATTATTGTGTTGTATTGATACTAACAATGATTTTCTCAACATTTTTTATTGCAAAATAAAAATAATCTTCAAAGATCTTTGAAGCACTAAGCTGAATAACCGGAATCGGACAAATAAGCATCTCAGTGGGCATCGGCGAAGAAAAGCGAAAAGTATACGGATCTTCTCACTAATTTAATATCGGTATGAAAAATGATCGAGCGTGGTTATAGTTATAGTTATAGATTTACAAAAAATGACGCACTTGTAAACGACAAAGAACATAATGTACGTATGGTAATTTGTATCATGCATGTTTGCGTGTTAAATAAGCGCGAATAACGTCAAAATGAAGAAATGTTTTGTTACTTGAACTAGCGACATTTACCTAAAGTAAATGTAAGCGACAAAGAAAATAATGTTCATATGGTACGCGAAAATTGGGTGGGTAATTTATATCATGCATGCTTGTGTCAAATAAGCACAAATAATATAACAATGTAGAAAGGTTGGATACCTTGAACTAGCGACATGTATCTAAAGTAGATGTTCAAAAATAACCTTGTCTTGAAACCTTAAAGTGAAGAAATATTGTCGGACTTCGACAGAAAAACTAACTGCAAAACCATTCCCTAAAGGCAATGAAAACCTCACAAGTAAGTTATTGAATAAGTTATTGAAAATTGTTCATACCAACACGTGCATGTGTGACTCAATGAGACATTCATCTTAGATATACGGTCGGAGTACGAAGCCTGACCGCTAACACCAATGTGATTATAAAATGGCTGCTGCTATTGCTATTTCCATGGTGCTTTATCCTCACTTCTAGCGGAATTTCGCAATGTGCTGCCGAATGTCAAGTACAATAATGTTGATTATGTCATAACCAGAACAAAATTAACACTGCAATTTGTGAATTTGAATTGTTACAATATTAAGTGTGTGTAATACATATACCTACAGTAATTTCATAAAGCACACGATGGACAGTTAATTTCTTGAATATTTACTTTTTACGAAGGTTGTTTAATAGGTCTTGCCCTATCATTTATTTTTGAGGTTAGCAGTAAAACTAATGATATGTTTGTAAAGTGTAAGCACTTCGCGTTAAACAGTGATGTAATGTTTGGAATATGAAATAAAAACGAGACATTGAAATTATTCTCAATGTAACCTATTAACCCTTTCCTTGTACTACAGTAGGTAATAAACTATAATAACTATAAACAATAAATGACTATAGACAATAGTTAACAAATGAAATGCATAAATATTATACAGGTGAATGCAAGCCAATTCGATTTTGTGTGGTGCTTATTCCAGCGTTACGAGTCACGTATCTCGACGCGCTTTCAATAGGTTAATTACATCGGCGACTTTGGCCCCTCATTAGTATATAAGCTCGTAATTTTCTCATTCATTTACCGAGCGGCATGGTCTAGAGGTTTAGACCTTTGCTTAGCATTCGGGAGGACGCCGGTTCGATTCCGGGTCCGTCTGCCTTGGTCCAAATTTTTCTGTGGTTTTCTTGGGCAGTAATAGTCCACAGATAATCTTTCACTCTCTTCTGTCTTCATTTCGTCCGTCTCAACTTTCTCACCCAAACCGCCACCCACCCATTCCCACGATTCCTGAAAGCAGGCTGAAGAGGGCCTTCCGCCCTACCATCCAGCATAGTACGGAGGGACTACCCGCCCATCAGCATAACTGGCTGGTGGGAATGAAACACCTAAAAGTTTATTTTTTTCATTAATTATTCGGTAGATCCGAGGACTTCTTCCTCGGGAATCCAACACCACCCAGTCTTACGGACGGCTACAGTCTACTTTATAGGTGAAACCTATGCTAGTTGTTCATTTGCCATCTTTAGTGTGTAATAGTTAAAATTATAAAGGTTCCTGAAAACCGAACCAAATAAATGTATTAAGATAGTGTTTTTTTTAAAACTCCATTTTGACATCGTACGTTTTAACTGGTTGCAAAACTGCTTTTATTTCGCTAAACTGCACACGACTTTTTTTCTTATTTATTATTACAGTGCTTGTCATCCTACAATGTTTCAAATATACGATGAGTTAATTTCTTGCGATTATTTCAGTTTTTTTCATGCAAGATCCATTTTGTTCCAACGATGAATTATTTACGTGGTATAATATTGGCCAACAAAAAAACATTTTTCTTTGTCCCCAATTGTCAATTTTGCTACGGATAGAGTGCAACAATTGCGCTTAACTATTCATCATCATCATCATGAGGTCGTCAGTCGTAAAACTGGTTGGACACCACCTCCACTTCTTCCTATCCTGAGCTAGTCTTCGCATTTCCTTAAAACTAGAACATCCCATATCCTTAATTATTTGCGAAAAGTAATCTAATTTAGGTCTACCTCTACTCCTCTCCTATTGCTGCCTCTAATATGTCTTTCTTTTCTGCCATTCTTTATACAACCTCCTCATTTCTAACCTTCTCTATCCACGGTATCCTCATCATTCGCCGGTCACACCACATTTCGAACGCTTCCAACCTTTTCTTTTCCTCCGCTCCCACCGTCCATGTTTCGCACCCATACAGTGCCGCGCTATACTGACGGATAAGTAGTTAGCTAAACATTTATCAAAAGCCTAACTTAATCATTCTGTAAAACATTATCATTTAATATTTCCATTAATTACAGGGTTATTATAATATTTGGAATAGGAACAATTATAACCAAGTCTCTTTCCTGCTTTTCGGGATTAATGATATTTGCTAAATATCATGATTGTGATCCTTTTCAAAGTAAGAAAATTATTAAGAATGACCAGCTGCTCCCATATTTCATCATGGATGTAGCAGGAAACATTCCCGGAGTGGCAGGACTGTTTATTGCGGGTGTTTTTAGCACTGCTCTGAGGTAAGTATGATTTATTAGAAGCTACTAATAATCATAAACAGTAGAATTACTAACAAATGAAATATTTCCGTAACTAAAGTCATAACTTACGGTGTTGAAAATGGAAACCGTAGCACAAATAAAATTTAAAAATTTCTTTTTTAACACAATAAAGTACTACACTTGCGGGTATTAGGTATCTACGTGTTTTGAACACATACTGGGTACACGATAAGTTTCCGATACACTTGTTCATATGTACGGCACTACATGAGATATAAAACGACCAATACTTCAATTTTTTTTAATGCCTTCCGGAACTAATTAAAGTAAAATTTTGTTACGAATTGGGAAGTTTATTAGAAGAAAATAAAAAAATGCCGATTACTAAGTAGAGAATCTCAAATTACAATAAAAACATGAATTTAAGTAATAATTCACCGGTGATAGCATCTGTTGAAACATATTGAACAATAATAGAATAGTAAATAAATAATTGGATATAATTTTACAAAAACTAAGAAAAGTAGTAACTGATTCAAATTTATTTTTATGTAAAACTAACAGAGGGAATATTATCTCTATAGAAAATTTTTGCAAACAGGTAAAACATTCATTAATAGATCTTAATTATGACTATAATTCGTATCGCCACTGTTAAAAATTAATTAACGTATACATGATGTCCAAAAATTATGATTGAATAAATACAAACGACAATAATTTGTTTAGTCTAAATGGAACTACCTGTATTTTATTTCATCAACAGTTGTATTTAATTCTCTAGCGACTAGAGAATACTATTATACCTTCCTATAGCTAACTGCCGATGTTTTGAAAAAAAAACGCTCATTTTTAGAACGCAAAGCGATTTTAACAAATTTAATGTAATTTATCAAGTCAGCTATGACATTTTGACAAGTCAGAATTACATAAAACACAGCTGGTACAAACCGAAAACATTTGAATAACATTACCTAAGATTTGTGGGCTAGTTTAAAGGAGGAAAACAAAAGATTGATGAAAATACAGCAAATAATACCGCTACATAGTATGCGTTCGACATGACAACTGCCTGATTCTATACATAAACGTATTACCTATTCCTAATCTTCACCAGCATTGACCAACATTTGTGGATCTTGGATCTATAGTATGATTCTGAAGGTTTCTGTAATGTTGCTTCAGCAATTTCTTTTACGTATCCCATAAAACATTTCAGAATTGGCCCCCACCATCGACAGACTTAACTCCCCGAATTTCTTTTAAAGGGGATATATGTAAAAGGAATTGTTTTTATAACACATCTCCAACAACGCCAAAGAATATGAAGTAGCGCATTACAGAAGTTTAAAGAATCATAGATCCAAGATCCACAAATGTTGACGAATGTTGCTGAATACATAGAACAGGCAATACGTTTATATTTAGAATCAGACAATCATCATGTCAAACCCATCCTATGTGACACTATTATTTGTTGTATTTTCATCAATCTTTTGCTTTCCGTCTGTAAGCTAACCACAAATCTTAAGTAATGTTATTCAAATGTTTTTGGTTTATACCAGCTGTGTTTTATGTAATTCTGAGTTGTAAAATGTCATAGCAGACTTGATAAATTACACTAAATTTGTTGCGTTCTAAAAATGTGCGTTTTTCACGAAAACGTCAACGGTTAGCTATAGGAAAGTATAACAGTATTGCTAAAGAATTAAATTTTGCAACTGCTACATAAAATGCAGGTTATTCCATTTAAACTAAACAAGTTATTGTTGTTTAAAATTTGTATTTATTTAAAACATAGTTAATTAACAGACTTCAAGTTAAATTTTGTTTTAAAAGCGGTAAAACACGTTTAGAATTTGAAATTTAAATTTGTTACTACATTTTCACAAAATTCAGAATATTTCAAAATCTTTAAGATTTATGTGAGGTAAACCTCAATGAAACGCGCAATTGTTTTGATCATAGAATTCAAAAATGTAAAAATATGTTGGGCGTTCCATTCGAAAAAATACAGCATTGATAGGTTTTGTGTTCTTCAGACACCCTGTATATTATGAAAATAATTTTAAAATGTAGCTCTTATGGATCCCTATCTACACCCTAAATAAAAATTTTCTTTCGTGTCGCATAACGTGAATAACCCTGTATATGTACCTAGTGGTAAATTGTTCACTTATCTTAGATATTCGACAAGCGGCACTACTTACACTCTACATCGATCTAGCTACAGATTTTTTATCAAATCACCAATTCGCGCACCGGCTTCGAATTGTAATTCGCTGTGGTTTTCTTAAAGAATTTTTTCCTTTAACTGCCCTCATGAACTCATCCTGAGATTCCTTGTTTAGTTTACACCCTCCAAAGCTCCGGACTTATTTCTGTTACACCCAGCACTGTTCATCTAAATCGGTTCTATGTATGCACGTTAGATATTGTAATTTAGAGATATTTCATATTTGTTGTTTGTAAATAGTAGGTAAAAAATTCACTTTTAATTTAAACCCGTTTTTACTAGTTAAAATTAGTTGTTACTAAATTACATCGAAAATACCACAAATGACGTGGTGAGCGCCATCTGTAGTACGATGCTACATTTGAGGATTTCGTATGTTCCAACAAGGTCCATTTAAAAATATGGATATCTACTTGCTGAAACTAATCCCGGCGTAGCTCACCTCAACGTGATAGGCACGTTACCATAATCGAACAAAATAATTCGAAGTGGTCTGTATTCGACGCGATGCGCTGATGAGATCCAAAAAGATCGAAATCGCGATCCGCGTCTGGCAGTTTCGACAGAATACAGACCACTTCGAATTATTTTGTTCGATTATGGTAACGTGCCTATCACGTTGAGGTGAGCTACGCCGGGATTAGTTTCAGCAAGTAGATATCCATATTTTTAAATGGACCTTGTTGGAACATACGAAATCCTCAAATGTAGCATCGTACTACAGATTACATATTTAAAAGTGTTGGAAGAGGATACTCAACGTTACGGAAAGATCAAGAAAATAATTTTCATAGTATAATAAATAATATAATTATAAAATGGAAACTAGTACTAATAAACAAATGCCTACTATCAATTAAAAATGTATATAATGCCTATTTATAACAAAAAATAATTGTTGCAAATATAATATGCATAGGTATTTGAGGAATAAAAAGCTGTTGGTAATAAAGATCCCCTCCACCGACAAATTGAATAATTATTATTGTCACGTTGAAATTAACAATTTCAATATTTTTAACAGGCTATATCCTTCCTTGTATCATTAAGAACACCCTGTAAAAATTTCATACAAATCGGTATAGTAGTTTTCGCAGTAGGCGAGTGCAAAGATAGAGATCACTTATCTTTATATAGTAGTATAGATTATGAATAGTAAAATTTGAGGAACAAATTTGGGACATTCCAGTATACGAACTGTTCATAGTTGTTACTTAACCAAAAGGGAGCTCATTTTAGAAGTTCCGTACACCTACTAAAAACAATAAAAAATATAGAACTTTAAATCTATTCAAATAAAAGCTAATTAGGTCTCTGCATCATTATCAGTAGATAAAACCAATGTTTCTAGAATAAATTAAGAAAATTTAGGAGTCTTATTTTTTAATTCATTATTGAATCTTTTTGTGATAATTTGGGAATAAGCATGATGAACACACGTGCCTATTCGTCTCAATTGATATCTCATTATTTATTTTGTTTATATATATATTTCTGTTATCTTAGTCTAACATTCGCTGATGTTTTCATCCAGGGTTTTAGTTTTTGAATGCCTTCTATTCATTAAACATAAAATTTAATTCATACAGATTGAATACTGGTATATGATATCTGTATATTTTATTTTTTAGTACTATGGCAAGCGGATTGAATACAACTGCTGGTACTATATACAAAAATTTCATAGCAAATTGGCTGCCAAAAGATACTTCTGAAAAGACTGCAAGCAATATTATGAAAATGATTGTTATTGTTACTGGATTAATCTGCTCTGGTTTGGTCTTCATAGTTGATAAACTAGGAGCAGTTTTGCAGGTATCAATGAGTTTTCATGGATTAACCACAGGAACACACATGGGAATTTTCCTTCTCGGTATGTTCTTCCCATCTGCAAACGCAACGGTAAGTAATCAATTTTCATTAGTATTTATAGTGCATTAATACATGTATTGTCAAAAACGAAACTGTTGAAAGTGTGACTAGGTGGTAAGGGATTATTAAATAGTGCAAATAGATATATTCCGTGTTATCCGCCTCCTTTTTCGAGAATAGTTGCTACTGACAATATCTCCTTACCGATGCAAGCTTCTGGTCACTTATGCAGCGACTTTGTTGGTTTGCTATTTTGATCACAGCAGCTTGGGTTGCCTTACATTCAATTGTTAGCAAAGGATAGCGTCACCCCAACGGAGACTGGGTATATTTAGACTCCAGTAGTAGGTAGTTGGCGGATAAAGAATTCAGAGCGAATGAGGTGCGCTCACAGTCTATCATGTACAGTCAATGATCTTCATGATCTGTAAGGTCTCGAGTATCGACTAGGTATACCGGTATGATCTAGTGTTGAACGTAATACAGGTAACAGAAAATTAGTGGGTCAAACTACATCCCATTATTCATGATGATGAACACTACTTCTACTCTATACGGTAGCTCGGATTTAGGCAGTTATAACAATGGTCATTAAAAACAATTTGACCCAGATAAAAATGTAAAAAATAAGGTACTGCTATGTGCTGCACTAGAATATGGACAAACACAGTCAATGTCAACTACTTTCTATAACTTCTTTTACTACATCGAAGTATAGTCAGGCATTGTGATGCGGCTGAATGTGAGGATTTTTGCTTTAGTTGAGATACTACAATCTACTCTTTAAAATTAGCAACGATAGTGAGTTTTGCATCTGGGTGATCAGAAAGAATAACATCCTGCAATTTGTACATGATACGCTAACGCATAGTACGGGGAACGATCAGGTGAATGTCATCCCTGGGTGGTGCATATACAAGAAACCATAGCTGACAATGTAAATGCGTATGTTTGTGCTGACACTCCTACGTGTCATTGGGTCCGACTTCAATAATATCTGATCATTTACGACTGTGGGCTTGAAATAAATTGTGTTGTTCGTGTGCGTCATCCACCTTATCGGCTAACGCTGATGCTGTTACATAGTATCCATAAATTCCTATTAGGATCACTAGCACAAATCCTATTTACATGTACTAACTTTGTACTAGCAATCTAAATCCTAAGCCAAGCCGAGAAGATAACTTGAAATTTAAAAGTTAGCATCGTTGTTTACGTATAAATTACTTAATTATGAACGTTTAATACTACGTTAAATGCAACTGAACATCATATTCCTTATTTTAGGGAGCTTTCTGGGGTTCAGTTGCTTCATTAACATTAACTGCAATACTTGTCTTTGGAGCACAAGTATACACTTATCAAGGAAAGATGAAAATTCCAACTTTGCCAGCTTCGGTAGAAGGTTGCAACCCACCACTTAACGTAACAAATTTTAGCAATCAAACAGTGACTCAGTAAGTATAGTTATTTCATTATATATCACTCTCCACAATGTATATTTTGTAAATTACGTACGTACGGTAAAATAGACACAATTATTGCGTTAATTATCATTTATAAAATGTGGTGCATTGTCTATATTCCAAGATAAAACCATCAGTTTTTTTATTTTTAGTAAAATTACATCAACGATTTATACTTAAGCCTGAATCATTTAGAAAGTGTGGGCTAAACTAAAATACAATTTACCCTTAACATTTTTAGGGCAGTTGCAAGCGGAGGCGACCAAGTTTTCTGGCTCTTTCGAATTTCGTTTTATTATTATCCTCTCATTGGTGTTATCCTTTGTATTGTGTTGGGGCTTATTATAAGCCATTTTACCAAGGACGAGAAAGAAAAAATTGTTGACGCTGATCTCTTTAATCCATACATTTTACGTTTTATATCACGAAAGCATTTTTCGACAACTCCAGTTAAATACGCATCTGCAGAGAAGGCATTCCAAATGACAGAAGTTCAAGAGAATGTCAAATGTACACCAGAAAATAAATAAGAATACCAAATAGGTTAGCTCTATGATAGATACAATAAGCAAATAATAAATGTGGGTACCTATAATTTTAATTTTTACTTATTTCATAAGTTATATTTATGTTGTGAACCAAAGATTGTTGACAATAATAAATATATTGATTATTAACTCTTTACTTGGACCAGACAACAACAAATAAACCCTTTATTTTTCAAACACGCATTTACATCTATACCACTGAGCTATCGCGGCTTCTTCCAGATTGTTATGTACAACAGGATGTATGCGAATATCAATTGGAGTATTGTGGAGCTTTAACTAGTAAAACATACACACAAGAAATTCCACAATCTCCCTTTATTAGAAACAAAATTTAATACCTTTTAGACCTACATCCCACCCTCAGCAGAGGTAAGTCCAATATTGGTGATATTGAACGACTCCATCATTTAAGTTTTCCTTTACCTGCGAATTATGGCGCTCCTTTTTCCCTGATATGTGGTTTAACGAAGCATGCATAATATACAGCTCATGCTTCAAGTTTGGTGTTGAATATTTACTCATTGCTGTTCTAACCAATAATTAGTGTCACTAGTGTGAACTCCCACTAACCCCCACTAACCCCACCCGTAACATTGAATTAATAAATTCAATTTTACACATTTGTATTGGTTTTCTATAAAATTTCTTATAGAGGGACAGTAACAAGTTTCTAACAGAGAATGACACCTTGGATGTCATAAGTTTCTAAACGCCTTCTGGAATTTCAGGTGCTTTATTAAGATGTATTTGTATAACCGGAATGATCTAGTAGCTGGATGAAAACTCACACTAATCCTAACTAATATTGTAAATGCGAATATGAGTTTGTTTATTTATAATCTTTTGACGCCTAACTATTCAACCGATCATCATAAAATTTTATACACACATTTTTAGAGGTTCAGAAACGCATATAGGATACCTTTTATCCAGAAAACATACTTTCCGAGGAATAGAGAAAATATGGTTTTACGTGGTCGATTTCACGCCTTAATTACTCAATCGACATTATAAAATTTTGTAAACACATTATCAGTGGTACAGAAAAAGGCAGAAGGAAAAATACTGTTTCCGAGGGATAGAAAAATTAGTTATATAGTCGTCGATGATCTCTAACATGTCTTTAGGACATCAATGCGAAGCCGCAGGTAAAATCTAGTAAGTAATAAAGTAAACACACCACACACCTTAACTAACTAAAGTTGGACATTGGACTGCTCATAGCGAAGATTTCTTCTTCCTGTCCCTATGTTTTTCGGCTCTGGTCTATCCTCGAAGGTCCACAGGAGGGAGGCCGGAGATAACCAGTACCGCTTCCGTTGACTCCGTTCCGTATGCCCACTAATGTGAAATGTCATCCTATACCGGCATTCCAGAAGCATGCCGGTGTGATGCTTGCTGTTGAGAAGGGACTACCACATTAAGACTGCATACAACTAACTCAATTGCAACACCACGGCTAATACCTTGCTTTTTGTGATGCACGCCTATTCTCGGGCATTCGTTTTCGCAGCAGCTGTAAGCTTCGACCTCAAACTGTTCCAACAGCTCCAGCGTCGACTACTATTTAGCTTTAGGAGTTTTATGGACATTTCCGTTTGTTGGTGCTCCCATCGCTGTCTTTTTTTTTTTTATTATGTTTATCTCATCTCGGTACTGAGCACGGCGCCTGCTACCCGCACGATGATTATCCAAGTCGCAGTAGCATTTCATGTTGAGGTACAGCTCTTTACCTCGATATCTGATTGAATGCTATCGTATGAAGCGACGATCTTCGGTGGAAACCGAATAGATATCATATCATGACAGTTACATATAAATGAAAAGTAACTTGAAGTGGAGGTACCCAATTGAGACTCAGAACGATTGTACACTTTTAGATTAGATTGTAATTTTTTTTGTTTTTGGGTCCATAACGTGTCTATTTTTGTTACGGGGTATAAAAATATATGTATATTTTTTATATTTTAAGTCTTTTTTATTAAGTACTATACAACATTTCAAATTAAAAGTAACAAATTCTTGTCAAATATGAGACCTAAACCTAGCAATTTGCAGCTCTCATGGCATGGCAATATTTGGCATATTCATTTTTCCTTGCCTTAAATAATTTAATTTATAATAACTAATATATGTAGGAAACAAATAATTCATATAAGGCAAAAAAATATGCGAACTATCCGTACCTAAAGATGACAATATTTGGCAATATGTAAAAATCTTGGATAATTAACGATTATTTCTACTTCCGCTAGCTTTAACACTAATTATAATTGTTGATTTTATAGATGTTAAAGAAAAAGAGGGCTGAGTGGTCCGAAGAAAACCTTAAAGAAGCGTTAATAATCAGGGAACGGACTAAGCGTCAGCAAAGCGTCGCAAATATTTCATAACAATGTTTCTTTTTATTTCATATAAATATACATAAACTTTTATCCGTTATTTTGATTATTTCTGTGTTTTTAGTGGTGTTCCGAATACTACCACTACATGGCAAAATTTGGGATACATGTTCCAAATATTGTCATTTTGCAATGTTTTTAAAAAAAGCTAAAATAAAAAAAATAATTTAAATTATAAATATATGGTATACCCTCCATTCTAGAGAAGAACTGTAGAATGGTTCCTGTAACGTACCAGGTTGATCTAGTTGAAAATGTTGACGGTGGCAATAATTGGCTTAGGTACCTTACATAACAAATCGGAAACCTCTTCAATCTAGTGGACACCTATTCAGTCATACACGTAATAGAGCAAGAGCCCGCAACGGCCACACCTTCGTCATTTTATAAAAGCTGAATGTTCTTCTATCTGTGCCTCAATACAGGTAAGAACGATCCTCACCAATGAAACCTGAGTAGTGGTGGCTTTGGCAGGTAACAGGAAGCAAAGGTGTACAAAATCGTATCTCAAATTCGTTAAAGTATAAAGCTCAATCTTTTTATATTTGATTCGTTACAATGTCAAAACTCGCGTTACTCATTGCCAGACACACCGGACACCCCTAAACTATAATGATTCGTAATTATACTTTCGTTAAATTACAAAAGCTAAAATTTATATATGTTATTTGAGACACTATAAAATGTTGTTTTCTCAGTTCCGAGGGTTCTATTACGCGGGTATTACGCGTCTGGCGGGGTAATAATTACCCCACCAGACGCGTCGTAAGCATACAATAGATACGATTGCGAGGAGTATATGCGTTAACGGGTGCGAGTGAAATAGAGCGTCCGGTCCATTGCGAT